GGCAACACAGTGAGACTCTGTCTCAAAAAATATCTTTTTTTTTTTTTTAATAACGTTTTGAATGTCAAAGGTTTCCTAGCAAAACTGAAGGGAGTGAGAAATTTATCTCTGAAGCCAAAAGAGAAGTCTCAACATTTCCAGAGGTATAACCAAACTGCTAACTCATTTTAAGAAAAGCAACTTAAAAATGAACCTTCACATAAGTTTATTTTACAATCAACAATGAGTTAGAAACATTTCCAAATTTATTTCTGAGAGCTTGTTAATGTAACTTAAAGCATAGGAACCTTCTGTTAAACTAAAATAATTAAAATAAATCTACCACCACATTAAAAAAAAAACATCAGGGCTGGGCACAGTGGGTCACACCTGTAATCCCAGCACTTTGGGAGGCTGAGGTGGGCAGATCACATGAGGTCAGGAGTTCGAGACCAGCCTGGCCAACATGGTGAAACCTTGCCTCTACTAAAAATACAAAAAGTAGCCAGGCATGGTGGTGCGCTCCTGTAATTCCAGCTACCCAGGAGTCTGAGGCAGGAGAATCACTTGAATCAGGGAGGCAGAGGTTGTGCCACTGCACTCCAGCCTGGGTGATAGAGCAAGATTCTGTTTGAAAAAAAAAAAAATTCAGAAAAGTTCAAGGATACCATTATTTGATCTGTATTCCAAATAGGATTCACAGATAGAAGGAAATGAAATCAAATGTACATGGCAAATAATGTGCCTATAATATTCATTTTTGAAAACTCAATGGGATGGAGGTTCCATGAGTACATACATATGTCAATGCTAATTGAACCGTTCTCTTAAAATGGGTGCATTTGATTATATGAAAAATTTAAAACAAAAATGTGCACCTTAAAGTTCTACTGTATTTGCTGTATCCAAGAAGACTCTCCCCAAAAAAAGGGAATTTAGAATTGCCTTCACAAAGATGATTAAGTCACAAAACATATCATTATATATGTAATACTATATCCATTTTGAAGCATATTCTATATGTCAAAGGATCTTCCAACAGTATCTTCTATGCTTCAATTTTTCCATTTGAAAATATATATCCCTAATGTGATTAGAAAGCACCGCAACTGAATTTTGTGCTTGAAAACCTATAGACATGAGTGAAACAACAAAGTATAAATAAAGATTTTCACTGATAATCCTTTTTCTCAGTTCAAAATAACTAAGAATGACTTATTTTTATAAGTTTCATTAACAGAATTTGAGGGAGAGGCATTTTCTAAAAATGGGCATTTTTTCCATTTACACAGAAATGGAAAAAAGCTGTGAGGAGCTTTTTATGAGTCCCATTCATCTGGAAGCCTCACTCAGACTTACATCAGAATAAAAACTCTTTTATAAGAAAACTCATGTCCCTTGTTAATCACTCCTTATTTCTAATGTACAGTAACACTAAAATAAATTTTAAAAAAGAATTAACATATGAAGTTAGGAATATATATAACTACCAATACATTTATTATCTAAGGATCCTACTAGACTACTGTAATTCCAGAAAAAAAAAACCAATAACCTTATTCACTAGGTTCATACTAATATTTCTGTTGACAGCTCCAGTCATTTCTACCTTCCAAAATGTTCTACCTTTATTAGATATTAATAATTGTCAATGATTGATAATTTTATATTAGAATTTTACAATCTCAATTAATAGCAGAGATCTGAACCTAAGTCAGTATTTTCAAAAACTGGTAACTATCATTAAAGCATTAGATCTCATTGAAATTCACAAATGGTTACTCTTTAAAATAGAGAATTATCAAGGGAAACTCATAATTCATTTTTCAGTCTTTCTTGTAAGCACATACATATTACACATAACAAATTCTGATTACTGTTATTGATATTAAGACATGATTTATAAGAATAGTGTGAAATACAATGATTTCATAGCCTCAGTAAGCCCTGTGTCTATTACCTGTCAATCTATAAAAACTTTAACATGAAAGAGTAGAGATGAAAGTGAGTTTGCCAAAGTTATCTGCTATCCCAGAGCTGTTTAAAGTTGATTTGGTTTTTCTGGCTGAGTAATTTAATATAATCTTTCATCCTTCCAGAGTTGGAAGGGACTATATGAGTTTCTCCTAGAAATTTAAGGCATTTAAGTCACAAAACAGGAAAGTATATTATCTCACTTATAAGCAGGAAAGATCTCTGCTCAATTAATTAGTGAAATACTTTGACTATAATTAATAGACATGCTAATATAGATTTTTTGGTTATGTGAATATCAGTTGAATATAATCTTTAAGCCACATTATAAATTCATATGTGCATGTAAACACAGACACATATATCCCAGAAATGGAAAATTGTGCAAATCTACCTTCATCCATTCAGTAAATATTTATTAAGAACCTATTATATACCATTTAAGATTACTCAAAATCTACTACATAAGATTGAAAATAGACTAAAGAAAGTATTTCTTGATCAAATGGAAGAGATTTTCTGCCACTACAAATCATCCAAGATAACTGAAACCTGTATCTACTGTAGGATTTATTTCATTATTATTTCATACATATGCATATTGCATTACTGACTTTTAAATTTCATATACTGGCACTTCAGAGAGACCTTCAGGACCGGTAAAGTTAATTTGCATAGACCCAAGACAAGTTTTCCAAATAAGCCACATTTCTTCATATGGGTCCTAGTAAACATTTGCAAATACATAATCCTCTAAGTTAAAGTTCACACCTGACTTTAGAATGTCCCACGTACTCAAGATACCTACCTTGTAAATTGCCTCCCCTAGTCACCATTCCTACTCATTCAAGACAGCCACCAAGTTATACTACGGTCTTTTCTTGTTCTCTTAAGAGTTAGACCTATTCTGTCTTACTTTTGTTTTGTTCACATCTCACAATTCAATCAATTCTTGTCAGGCCATCTCTTTCTCCTAATGAAAAACATATGCCCCTCTCTTTCCTTTTTTGGATATCTTGAAAAAATAACTCATTTCCATTTTTATGAGCCAAAGAAACAGTTCAGTCCTCATGTAATAACTATTATCAGGTACCTATTATGTGCCACACACTGGGCTAGACCTTAGGAATGGCTAAGAATGAACTCAATGGCCAGAAATATTCTTGTAGCAAGAAAAAGAGAAATCTGATTTCAATGTCAGATTAGATCTCAAAAACAGTGCAATCAACCTTGAAAGCTCACAAAAGTACCCAAAAAACCCATAAGCATCCTTCCAAATAACTATCCACCTATTAACCTTGCTTTTCTTCAAGCATTAACATTTAGAATAAATAAAAATAATATCTTATCCAACATCAGTATTTTATACTTAGTTTCACCATTGGAATTGACTTGCTTATGTTTTTCAAGGTAGCAATGGTTTTTCTATTGTGTGAGTAAAATATACTCTTAGACTGTGATAAACACCCAACAGTCACTTGATAAACTGTTTTCCAGGGAACATTGGTTCTAACAATCCACTCACAAGTAAACTTCTGAAATACAAAGCATTTGTAAATTGGGAATGCATTATTCTTTATTTCTATATTTACATTCCTACGGGCTTAGGAAATGGTACATCACTAAGGTAACACCAGTGAATGACTAGTTTAGAATAAAAAATTATTCTGCAAAGTGTGAAGCTGTAGGCAAGTAATTTTCCATCAGTCTAAGAAGGACTGAGCATGGGAAAATCTATTTAAAAAGTAAAAGTAAGTTTGTGATATTATCTCTCTGATACTTACTTTTAAGTGCAAGATACTCACTAGCCCAGAAAAGGTTTCCACAGACCAGCTGAGCTGTTTCTTATACATAGGTCAACAGTCTAAAAAAAAAAATAAAAACCCACAAAATCCCACAAAACAAAACCTGTTCTGCAGGCTTCTGTACATGTAGAGGAAATGTTAGAGAAAGTACAGCCATTTTATAGTCTATCTAGGGTACAAGCCCTTTTAATATGTTTACTAATACTCTGCAGAAGTTTTCATTTCTGTTGTTTTGCCTTAAAGGACTCACTTGAGTTGATAACTAAAGACATATATATTTCTTGAGGCTAGCAGAGGGTAGATTAGAAACTCTGCTTAGAGTGGTGCATCTTCATGCAGTGACTCAGTTTCACAGTTAACAACATACACTTCCTCCCTCCTACAGAAGAATGATTACATGCCTCCATCCATGCCTTTAAAAAGATGTATATAATTAGTATACACTCTCCTGTTTTAAGATTATACAAAGAAGGTTTTATTGGAATGTGAATAGATATTTTAAGAGTTTATTTTTTCCTTGCTCTATTGCTTATACAAACACACACACACACACACACACACACACACACACACACACACACACACATCAGGTTATAATTGCTCTTCAACAGAATAAGATTATATGAGAGGAAAGCTTAGTATAAATTGTGAGAACAAAATAACTGCTTTATTCCTTACTTAGAAATCCAAATGCATTCATTCATTTTACATAAAGTAGAAAAACTCAGGTGTCACTTATTGGGTCTAACATAAGCAGTCAACATTTAAATTATATATCATTTTAATTAGTAGTATCAACATTTTTATTTAAATTATAAGAGAATGCTATAGTTTATAATACAAAACATCACAGTGATAATTTAAAATTTATTAACAAGAGACAGAAAGAGGTAACTTTTGAATTTTCATGCAGTTGAAAGAGAAACATGAAAAATGGTATACTGTACTGCCACTATTTTTGGAAACTCTTTGTAAATAAAAACCCATTTCCAAAATAAGATATTCCATGGACACAGAATAGTTGATAATAGTTCAAGTGCCTTAGGCAACAGAGAAGTATTGTTTTGTAGTTTTTTTAAACCTCTCCTAGTAATAGCAATTCATTATGCACAAAGAAACAAGGTAACAGCATGGTTTATAATGAATAGATAAGTAATAACTACAGAACCTCAATTAAAATTAAAGTTTGCCGTATTTGTTCCATTTCTATAAACCAGTATGGATAACTTTGTTCATACTTACCAAATGTTACAGAAATGACTTGGCTTGTCTAAGCAACAAAACGTAGACACATGGTGAGGTGCTGAAGACAGCTCTTTCTTGAGCTCAAAGCACTTTAGATGAAGTAGGCTTTATCGTCCATTTAATAGAGGTTGCCTCCTATTACCAAGTGTGGCAGAGAAAAGAGTTTCCACAATTCTGTCTTGACTTTCTGTCTCTCTCTTTGAAGAGTAACAGTTACCACCGGAAAACGTTACCAGAAAATGATCACTTGAACACTCACATAGAGCAGCTGTAAATTTCCACTCTCTTTGCCTGCTCTCAGATTCCAAGCCTTGCTTGTCTCTTAATCTGTCACAGGCAGTTCTGTTTCTGGTCAAACCAGCTTGCTTATGCGTCCTCCTCTCTCTCTTTAACACTTGCTTTCAGATACGTACTGCAGTCACAGCTCCCTCTTTTACTTCCTCCCTCCCCAGTCCTGTAACGTCACAAGAATGCCTGTAAAGCTGAGGCAAAATAAACTCTTGAGCCAAAAAAGAAAAAAAATCTAGAGATAAACACAATTTTTTCTCATTACGTTTTTCTGCCTTAAGTCTTATACTTGTTCGTGCACGGGGTTTTGTCAACTGATTTAACTGGCTTGACTATCTTGTTTAAAAATGGAAATAAAAGTTCTTAAAAAAAAAAAAAGCCTGTTGATAGTAATAATAACAGATTCACCTGTTAATATGCTAGCTCCTCAGGGAAGATGCTATTCCCAATTATAAGAAAGTGGAGCAAGTAAACACATAAGTACCTATATTAGAAATTTAATCTTAAGATTTAAAAAGCAGGGAAGATTTTAGAATACTTATAATTTAATTTTAATAGTGTGATTTTATGAAAACCTAATGTATTTCTTAATATGGTATATTTTAAAACTTGGACCAAAATTTGCAGTTATAAAAGGGAAAGTTATAAAGAACACAGAAAAATATTGACACCAAAAACAATAGCTAGAGCAGCTTAATCATGTATGTACAAACCAAATGTAATTATTGCAGTTGAAAAGAAGGTTTTTCCCCCCAAGCTTTATTGGTCAGAATGCATAATACCTCTTATAAGAATTACAAAGGCTAAAGGCAACAAAAAATTATTAAAGTTATTATACATATATAATTATAGAGTAAAATAACAAAATTATGAAACTCTCTTTAAGGTTTAGGGATGAGGAATTAGGTGGAAAGCTGAGTGGGCTGGTGGTTGGCAGGCTTATATAGCATTTGTAGGATTCTTTGGAATTAGGAGGCAATGTATGCAGCTTGGAATAGGTGCTGGCTCTGTAGGATGCTAGTCAGATCCTGCTTTGGAGTTCTGTTCCAGCTTCTTAGCCCAAACCACTTTAGGTTCTCCACCTCCCACTATGTTCCCAATCAAAAGTCTTGGGCCCTTCTTCTACTGATGGATCTCCCAAGTACAGAAGGAACCAAAGTAGTTATTAGACCTATTATTAAGTAACACATTCTTATTCTCCACAGAATTAAAATCTCTCTAAGAATATAAGCTTAAGTAAGGTGAAAGGTAAATATCTATAAATAGTTGTTTATACACCTTAAGAAAAATAAGTCAGTAAAACTCAGCCTTAAAATATAGATGGCTTGATCTGGTTCATTTAAAGTAGACTTAAAACTTAACTATATTATACAGTTATTTGGTTATTTCTTAGCGCCTATGAAACAGGTATCAAAGATGACTAGAGAATAGTCTTTCAATTAGTAGTTTTATACTTTATTTAGAGTTTTATTTCTTCTTTTTAAAGAGATATTAGATGGAAATAATTCTAAATCACTCAGGGTATGAAGTGCCTAGTATCTTGGGTTATACTCTAAGAGCTGCAGTATAATTTTAAAAATTTAATTTATAAAAGTGGTTCTTAGGGTAACTGCAAGGTTAATTTAAAATTGGGAGACTCTATATCAATCTACAATGGATTCAAAGGTACAAAGTCAAGTCAAGAAATTTAAAACATAAAATTACTAAGATTATCTATGATTGTATATTTAATTCCTACTAAATACCATTCCATGTTTCCAACAGCAAGAGTGAAGAAATCTTACAATATACAGTAAATTGTGTTGAGTATTCAGAAGGATATTGCCTCAGTAGCAGAACCAAATTAGTTTTATATTAAAGGTTGTTCTGGTTCCTCCTCATAGAGATCAAAAGTAAGCCTTGAAAGGACCAAATTATTTCCAAATAACTGCAAGCCAGAGTAAAATTTAAAAATATTTATATAATTTTTTAAAAATCTAGCACACAATAATGTAAAATTCACAATGTGTGGCATCCAGTCAAAAATCGCCAGGCATGCAAAGAAGCAGAGGAAAATATAATACATAATAAGGAGATAATCATTAGAAACAGATTCTGAAATGACACAAATAATAGAATTAGTATACAAACACATTAAAACAACTATTAAAAATCTCTTTCATACATTAAAGAGGTATTAGAAAGATAAGAATGCTAAGGAGAGACATGGAAGATATGAAAAAGACCCAGATCAAATTTCTAAAAATTAAAACTACAATTTCTGAGAAAAGCTTATTCTGTTTTATGGAATGAAGTGTTGCCCAACTCTAGAATCACAAATAAGGCCAACTAAGATCTTTAAACAAAAAAACAAATGTACAAAAAAACCCCTATAAACTCTGTAATGAAAATTAACACCAAATGAGATGAATGGCAGACTATACAGTGCAGAAGAAATGATTAGTAAAGTTGAAGACACAGTGACAGAACTTACTAAAATAAAGCATTGAGAGAAAAAAAGTTTAAAAAAAATTAAACTGTAAATTAACTCCAGATGGATTAAAGACTTAAACATAGGACCTAACACCATAAAAACCCTAGAAGAAAACCTTGGCAAAACCATTCAGGACATAGGCATAGGCAAGGACTTCATGACTAAACCACCAAAAGCATTGGCAACAAAAGCCAAAATAGACAAATGGGATCTAATTAAACTCTAGAGCGTCTGTACAGCAAAAGAAACAATTATTAGAGTGAACCGGCAACCAACATGTTGGGAAAAAAGTTTTACAATCTACCCATCTGACAAAGGGTTAATATCCAGAATCTACAAAGAACTGAAACAAATTTACAAGAAAAAAAACAAACTCATTCAAAAGTGGGCAACGGATATGAACAGACACTTTTCAAAAGAAGACATATATGAGGCCAACAATATAAAAAAGGCCAACATATAAAAAAGTGCTCATCACTGGTCATTAGAAAAATGCAAATCACAACCACATTGAGTTACCATCTCACGCCAGTTAGAATTGCAAGCATTAAAAAATCTGAAGACAACAGATGCTGGAGAGGATATGGAGAAACAGGAACACTTTTACACTGTTGGTGGGAGTGTAAATTAGTTCAATCATTGTAGAAGGCAGTGTGGCGATTCCTCAAGGAGCTACAAATAGAAATTCCATTTGATCCAGCAATCCTATTACTGGATATATACCCAAAGGATTATAAATCATTCTATTATAAATGATTATAAATAAATAAATGCTCATTGTGGCACTGTTTACAATAGCAAAGACCTGGAACCAACCCGGATGCCCATCAATGATAGACTGGACAAGGAAAATTTGGCACATATATATCATGGAATACTATGCAGCCATAAAAAACGATGAGTTTGGGTGCTTTGTAGGGACATGGATGAATCTGGCCATCATTCTCAGCAAACTGACACAAGAACAGAAAACCAAACACCACATGTTCTCACTCATAGGTGGGTGTTGAACAATGAGGACACATGGACACAGGGAGGGGAGTGTCACACACTGGGGTCAGTTGGGGGGGGGCTAGGGGAGGGAGAGTGGGGGTTGGGGAGGTTGGGGAGAGACAACATAGGGAGAGATGCCAGATATATGTGATGGGGGGATGGAGGCAGTAAACCACCTTGCCATGTATATACCTATGCAACAATCCTGCATGATCTGCACATGTATCCCAGAACATAAAGTACAATAAAAAATAAATTAAAAATAAAAACAAAAATGAACAGAGAATCCCTGAACTATCGGGAAACTTAAAAGAACCTAATGTATACTATATATACTACATATAGTCTTTGGGCCTTGAATAAACAATAGTAGTAGCCAAGAAATAGTTCTTACAGGCCTTGGGCATAACCCAGGACTGTGCTGGCTTCAGGTGTGACCCAGTATTGACCCAGCATAGTCCTAGCAATGGTGGTCACAAGAGGGCTTGCACCACCCCTCCCCCAACTGTATGAAGCTCAGCAAGGAGAAAAGACTCTCTTTGTTTGGGGGAACGTAAAGGAAGAGAACAAGAGACTGTCTGGTAATCCAGGGAATTCTCCTGGATCTTACCCAAGACCACCAAAGTGATATCTTCTCAAGTCTGCAAGTCACAACATTACTGGGTTCTGAGTGACCAAAGACTTAGATCACAAAACTTAATTAATTCCCTTTGAGTATTTGGAAACCCTTCTCAAGGACAGATCCATTCATCCTTGAGAGGTCTGAGAAAAAAATCAAAAAAAGGACAAGTACAAAAAAGCCCAGAGTGTGAAGATTAGAATAAATACCTAACTCTTCAATGCCTAGATACTGACAAACATCCAGAAGCATCAAGATCATCCAGGAAAACATGACCTCACCAAACCAACTACATAAGGAATCAGTGACCAATTCTGGAATGACAGAGATATGCAACTTTTCAGAGAATTCAAAATAGCTGTTTTAAGGAAGCTCAAAGAAATTCAAGATAACATATAGAAGGAATTCAGAATGCTATCAGATAATATAACAAAGAGACTGAAATAATTAAGAATCAAGCAGAAATTCTGAAGCAGAAAAATTTAATTGAAAAACTAAAAAATGCATCAGAGTTTCTCAAAAGCAGAATTGATCAAGAAGTAGGAAAAGTGAGCTTGAAGACAGGCTATCTAAAATACACAGAGCAGTCAAAAGAAAAAAGAATAACACTAATGTAGCCTGCCCACTCTAGAAAAGAGCCTCAAGGGGACTCTCCAAGATGGCCCAATAGGCACAACTCTGGTGTACAACACCCAGTGAGAGAGATGCAGAAATCCAGAGATCTGGATTACAGATCCAAGATGGCTAATTAGACACAATTCCAGCATACAACACCCAGCGAGAGAGATGCAGAAATCCAGGGATCTCCTAGCTCCAACTGAGGTCCCAGGTGCATTTCAACGGGTCTGGTCCAATGGTGAGCAAACAGGGCAGACTGAGGTGGGGAGGGGTGCTGCTTCACCCAGAAAGTACATCTGACCGGGGAGTTGGAGGCTCCCTCTCTGGTACTCCGGTCCAGATACAGCACTTCCCCCAAAGCCTCAGCAATACACAGAACAGGGGATCTTTGCCAGTCAAGCACAGGGAATTACAAGTGCAGACTGAGCTATTGCCCCCTCCCCCCACCCGGACAGAGAGGGAGCTGTAAG